ACGAAGCGGGATAATGAGGCGAGCATCCCGTTTAGGGACTGTATCGACTTCTTCGTGCTCGACATTGCGATCTTGGAGAAGGCCCGACATTTTTCCGGGTTTGCCTCGATCCCTCGTTCGGTCAGGTAAAACCCGAGGAACTTCCCCGCGCATACATCGAAGGTGCACTTCTCCGGGTTAAATCGCATCCTGCACCTCCTCGTCGTTTCGAAGACCTTCTTGAGGTGGGCTGTGTGGTCGACCTCAGTACGCGATTTGACGATCATGTCATCCATGTAGACTTTGAGCATGTCACCAATCTCTCCTCGGAAGACCTTTTTAATCATCTGTTGATAGGTGACGCTGGCGTTCTTTAGGCCAAAGGGCATTACGTTGTAGTAATAGTTGCCCGACTCGATCATGAAGGTCGTGCTCTATTTGTCGACTTCAGCCATGGGGATCTGGTTGTATCTCGAGTAGGTGTCCATGAAGGACAATAATTTGAATCCCGTCGAGTTATCGACGATCTTGTCGATATTGGGGAGGGGATAAGCGTCCTTGGGACATGCCCGGTTGAGATCGGTGTAATTAACACACACTCTCTATTTTCCATTAGATTTTTTGACTAGTACAACGTTGGATAGCCAAGTTGAATACCGGGCTTTCGCAATAAAATTTGCCTCTAGATCTTTTTCAGCCGTCGCTGACTTTTCGGAAGACTGCCTACACTTACTTGTATTATGGCCTTCACGGCTGGGTCGATGGAGAGCTGGTGGTAGGTGACCTCGGCGTCAAGGTCGGGCATCTCGGCGGCGCTTCAGGCGAAGAGGTAGGCGTTCTCACGGAGGCAGGCCTTCAGCTGCTTCTTCGCCAGGTCGGGAAGTCTAGCTCCAATCTTCCCGCTCCTGGACGCATCGTCGTCGAGGACTACTAGCTTGAAGTCCCCGTCCGAAATGGGGCGCGTTGGATGGAAGGGTTGCCCGTTGACCGTTGGAGGAGTGTGTTCGGCTTCGCCTTCGTGGTCGTGTTGGGGAAGCGGCAGTCGAGGTCCACGGTATCGATGTGGTCCTTTGGCTTATTCTCTTGGACTGACGGAGGCTTAGTCGCTTTTGGAGAGGGACCGGTCATGCTGAGGCCTTCCATTGCTGCCTCGAAACATCTCCGAGCTGCTTCTATGTCCCTGTCGAGGGTGACGACGGCTCCCCGCCTGGTGTAGTACTTCATCTTAAGATGGACCGTCGATGGCGCTGTAGTGAGTTCGGTCAGCGTCGTCTTGCCTAAGATGCAGTTGTACAGGGACTAACACTCGACGACCAGAAAACGGATGTTGATTTCCCTGGTTGTTTCTTGTGCCCCGAAGGTGACCTTGAGCTCTACGTATCCCCACGGTCTTGTCGTCGTCTCGTTGAACCCCTGGAGACATAGGGGGTCAGGTTGGTCTCGTCGAGATGCAATGTCGAAAATAGGTGGGTATACATGACATCCACCGAGCTTCCCCCGTCGACCAGGATACAACGGACTTCGAAGTTCGCCATTTGTTCCCGGATGAACAGAGGAATGTCGAAGTTAGGGGCTCCTCCGGGCAGCTCTTCGAAGTAGTACGTGATCGGGTTAGATCGACCGTGGAACTTGTCGAGAGTGCTCATTTTGTGGGAGTTGTTGCTCATCAACTCGTCAAACTTCCTCTTCACAGACCCGATGGAGAGCTTGTTCGGGGCCCCGCCTGAGATGACCATCACATAGGGGAAGTACTTCCACGGGCTGATGGGGCGTACTGGTTTTTCGGGCAGCTGGTGCCCGGTAGGGATATTGTGTTCCCTCAGGGAGAACAAGTCTTTAGGACGACTTATGCTGAGGGCCACCTGCAGCTTAGATTCGTTGGAGGGAGGAGGGATGCCCTTGACCCTTTTGGCTTCGTGGGCCTCTTGTCAAGGGGCATCCCCTCCCTTGGTGTACCTCTTCAAGTGCTCATCCTTGATGAGTATTTCAATTGCGTCCTTCAGGTGGATGCAATCTTCAGTGACATGCCCGTGGCCGCGGTGGAAGCGGCAGTATTTGGACTTATCCACGTTGGCCTTGGGGGGTGTCGGTTTAGAAAAACAAACACCTCCTCGGACGAACTCCAAGTTGGCACACTCAGCCAAGATGTGCTCGTGGAAAGCGACGAGGGTCGTGTACTCAGTGAAGCGGCCTACGGGGCCCCTCTGCTTTCGGGGTTTCCAGGGATGATCATCTCGTCATCGATATCCCCCACATCAGGGGGTCGATGCTCTTTCTTCCCGGGCTCCACGGGGGGCTTCGCGGTTACGGGAGTCTCGGGCTAAATTAACAACTTCTATCTCCTCGTACCAGATGTAGTGGCGGGCTTTCTCGAGGAAGCCTCGTAGGGTGGTTGGCCGGTGGATTGCCACGACCTCATAGAATTTGGAGCCACGGCACATGCCTTACTCTATGAGGTATCACTTCATGTCGTCTGAAGTCGTCGCCTGAACCGCCTCCCTCGTAAATCTCTCGATGTAGTTCCTGAGAGGTTCATCCTGGGCTTGGATGATTGCGCTCAGGGAGGCCTCCGTCTTGGGATGGCGTCGGGAGACCGTGAAATGTTGCAAGAAGAGATCCTTCAAGACCCTCCACGATGTGACAGACTCGGGTTCAAGGCTTTTGTACCAGGCCATGGCTCCCTTCCTTAACATCGTCGGGAAGAGCTTGCACTTGATGGCTCCTCGGACGTTCCGATAATCGAGCATGGCCTCGATATCTTCCAAATGGTCGTCCAGGTCCGAGGTACCTTCGTAGGTGGAGAGTGCGGGCGGCTTCTCCATCCCGTGAGGGATGAGGGTTGCCATGATTTCCCGCGAAAGGGGGGTCCTGTAGTCATCCTCGTCACTGATGGACAAGGGCCGAGGGCGAAGAATTGTGTCGAGGGGCTTAAATACGCCCCCTCGACCTCTTGACCGGGACCTCCGGTATGTTCCCTCTTGGGGCCGGGGAACGCCTCTCCTTTCGGGGAGGTGATCGGTCGCGCTTCTTGGAGGCCACGGGTTGGGGCCTCTCCAGCTGTGGTCGGCGCCCCCGTTGACGGAGAGAGGGGCTCCGAGAGTCCTCGCGTTGATTTCTCCGCGGGGGAGAGCGAGACGAGGTATCTTGTTCCAGCATCCCGATGCGCTCGTTCTGCTGGAACAACATCAGATTGGTTTGGTTGATGGCTACGAAGAAGGAAATCATCGCCGGGTCCGCCCCTACTGGTGTGGGGACGAGCTAGAAAACAGTCGGGCTTCTGGCTTGAGGGGCGACGTGGTGTGTCGCGTCCTCGGACGAAGGGGAGGCAGTCCGACTGTCCCTCACGTCACCCTCGTGGACGTGGGAGGGCCCAACCTGGTCATCGCCGTTGGTGAGTGGGACGAAAGCGAGATTATGGACATCATAGTCGTGGCGTGGGCTGGTCATGATCTTGGAATTTGAAGTTGAAAGCTTTGGTTCTTCTGTTCGGAGGAACAGGGAAGCTTTAGTTTCCCATAGACGGCGCCACTGATCGTATCTGATCAAAAGCGATCGCTGGCCTGCTACACGTCTGAGCTGTCAGATTGTTGATTTGACGGACGCGGGGGGGGGGGGGGTGTACCTGAAACACACTCCGATGTTAAAGTAAGGGTCGAACAAAGTGATGACAAGTACAGAGAGAAAGGAGTAAGAATTAAATTACTTGACCCTCTTGTGGAAGAGGGTATTTATATTGAGCCCCTAACGCAGAGCCAACGGTTACTATGCGTTGGGCTGAGCTGCCAGACCCAACGCTGGTAACTACTAGGGCTGACGTGACGTCGTGAAGACTAGCACGTGGTCTTCACCCTAGTGCAACTGTTCCGTGCTATCTGGAAGGTGGATGACCGAATAATCAGGGCATAGATAGTTACTAGATGACATGTCTTCGCGTATGGGACATGTTGAGAACGTGGGGGAGGTCAGAGGAGCTTCCCGAACTGGATGGGTTATGCCTAACAGTGGGGCAGAAGAGAGGCGAATCAGGCAGATATGAGGATCCTGCTCGACTGCCGTTGGTCCGTGTCCGACGGGAGAAGATGTTCTGTCCGATAGGTCTCTGCCCGACGATGGGGTCTTATTGGATCTTCCAACCTGATAGGATTTGAGCATGCTCGACAATGAGCCAAACGTCGGCTCGGTCCATAACAATTTTCAACCAATTTGTTTTATAAAATCAACTCACCAAAAAAATCCAATAAAACAGATATATTATCTAAATTAAATATCACAAAATTTATCAATATTTTATAAAATCTTGACTACATATAACAAAATCTCAATAGATGATTTGTAACACAATAAAATATAGATAGAAATAATAAAGATGATATTTTAGTGTGTATATATATATTGGAGAAGGGAGAGGTAGAAAGGAATTTGGTGACTCAATATAAAATAAACCGAGTTGATTTGGTTTTTAGAGGAGACCGCATAGCTTAGCTCTCAACCCAGGTTCGTTTCTTTAACGCTAATCTTATTCCCTGAGATTTCTTGATCGCTTTCTAGGGTTTCTGCTTCTCTTTTTTTCTTCAATCAATTTCAACCTAATCATGATTTATCTCTAATTCAAATTTATTTTCTTCTTTGATTCCATCGTTTCGACCGTGGATTTGATTTTTGCGCTGTTAGATCGTGGTGCCTTTTTGTTGAATCAGTCGACCAGACGCGATCTTGTTGTTGTTGTCTATGATTCTATTTTGTATGGATTCTTTGATGTGATTTTTGGTAGTGTAGGGTTAAGTTAAACGTATAAAGTAGCTATTTTTTTTAATGTTAGGTCTGTATATATTTGTTGCTGCATAAGGAAGACGTTATTCTGAGATAATTGATGTTTGAATTTGAATGCATAAGATATGAAGCAGTTTTAATTATAATAATAATGTGTTTGGTTGAGATTAAGGCAATTTTTTGGTTTTAATAGGGGATTTTTTTTCTGTGAAGTGTTCTAATGCTGGGGTTGATGTGGTTGTTGTAGGAATATGATTAAACTATTTAAAGTAAAGGAAAAACAAAGAGAACTTGCAGAAAATACCAGTAATGGAGTACCTGTCAAGAAGCAAAGTGCTGGCGAGCTGCGTCTTCACAAAGGTTTTTTTCTTATTAAATGATTGTTTTGGGGTTTTTCATGTTGTTAAATCTGTGTGGCACTTAACCCTACCCACAGCCAGAAAGGTTGAAAAGATAATTGAGAGTGAAAGAGGAAAAATAAAGGTTAATGTGTGGTTGCCAGAGCAGGGATTTTGTATTGTTTGAGCCTTGGGGTGTGACTGTAGAGGATGGGGTAAGAATTAAAGCTAGAAGTAAAGTACATGATTGTCTTAGTTGTTTAATTTGACTACAGATGATAAGATTTATCGGTTCACTGCTTTGGATGCCCGGAATCTATTGGTAACTTATTTTAAACTATATTGTCATGGAAAAAAGCCCAGTGACACGTTAAACCCTAACTCAGACCCAAATCCCTTCCTCTACTCATGGGCAGGTTGTTTCTGTTTATTCTCATTCACATGCCTTTGCTCTTACCTCAAATGCTCAAACCCACCTGCTCCCATCCCACATGTCTACCATCTCTAGCAAACAACTCATTCTTCAGCTAGCAACGGATCTTCGATGATTGACCCATTCTATTCCCTTCACCCTTTTCTTCAATTTTATATTTGCGTTTTGGTCACTGTCTATGTCTCTTTTTCTTTCTCATCTTTGTCCTATTTATGTATATTTATTCTGTGATTGTCTTCTGTCTAGTTTATTGTTCTTGAAGGTTATTAGTTCTTATCTATTTTGTTAAAACTCTGCAGGTTTTGTGCCTACTTTTTGTGTATATATACTTTGATAGAAACCTTCATACGTCTGCTATAGGCTGCAATCTCGTCTGCCATATTGTTCTTGTGAATTTTAGGCCTGTTGTCATGAACCACCATCACCCATTTATAGCATTGCATCAGATGGGTAAATGTTTGGAATACAAATACAACTTGTTTTATTATTATTTTGGACAAGGCACAAAAATAAATGAGGTAGAGATAGATAAGAGGGAACAATTGAGATTTTGGTAGTAAGAATCTGGGAGATGAATTAGTTAGGGTTGAATAATTTATTGTGAAAATCTACCGTAGGTTCTCCACTTTGTGGATGATATGGACCAGAGAGGTTTTGTTGTTGAAGGATTTTAAAATCGAAATAATGTATTCTTAGAGTTTATGACAAAATAAAATTGGAGAAGCAAATAATGATTCCTTTATCTGAATTTCTTCTATTCTAGTGGCCTTGAGTTTTGAATGTTTTTTTTTTTTGCTTGGAGTATAGCTTAATTGTCAAGTGAATTAACTCGGGGGTGGGAAAACCATATTATTGCTCTTTTTGTTTCTCTGGGTGGTTTTATATTTTCCCTATTCTTAAAGAATTTTATCTTGAGAATAAGGAATTTATTCTGAATAACTGTTTCTGCATTTTATTAGTGTTTTTTCATGGAAGGGAACTTTTTTTTGGATGAACTAGAAATTCATCTGACTGACCATTAGGCGGCTTGATATTATTAATGTCTACATACTTTCCTACAGACATGTGGACTGCTATTAAAGAGTTTTTAAGTTCACTAGTTGGACTATGATATGATATCTCAAGCTGGAGTGTTTTTAGTTACTGCTCTGAGACATTTCTTGTCTTTTTTAAACCTTCGTTTGGTGTATAGTTTCTGCCAATTTAATTTGTTATACAAGTTTTCTAACTGTGGATGTTACAACTTTCAGATATCAGTGAGCTGAATCTACCAAAATCTTGTACCATGCAATTCCCCAATGGCAAAGATGACCTAATGAACTTCGAAGTTTTAATTCGACCTGATGATGGATATTACCTGTAAGGAACTTTTCACATTATCTGTTTGAAATTATCTACTTGTAGTTTAACTTTTATAATCGACTTTTGTTTAAGGCTTTGATGCCCTTATGCTGTCTTCATCTTATGTTTATTTGTTTGTTTTGCTTTTATTTTTAAATGCTAAATTTAATGTAAAATCTAGTAGGGTTTATATTATATACCCTCGCCCTCAAAATGAAGCAAAACCAGAGGATTTATTTGTTGTATTTTTTGTTACAGAGGTGGCACTTTTTTGTTTTCCTTCCATGTGTCTCCCATCTATCCACATGAAGCACCCAAGGTGAAGTGCAAGACAAAGGTAGGGTGGAGTTTTCATTAACTACAGATCATGCTTTTGGGTATTTGCGGCATTGCTTTCATATTCTGTTTCAATGTAGTGAATTTATTTGTACCTGAATATTGTATTTGCAGGTCTACCATCCAAATATTGATTTGGAAGGCAATGTGTGTCTGAACATCTTAAGAGAAGACTGGAAACCTGTCCTGAATATAAACACTGTTATCTATGGCTTGTATCATCTCTTTACGGTATGGCTCTGCTTTTTTAAAGTATCATGGTTGATATTTGAAATTTATAAAATCTAATCTTCTAATCAAATGCAGGAGCCAAATTACGAGGATCCCCTGAATCATGATGCAGCTGCTGTGTTGAGAGATAACCCAAAGATGTTTGAATCTAATGTGAGGAGGGCAATGTCTGGTGGGTATGTGGGGCAAACCTTTTTCCCACGCTGTATGTAAACCATGCTCGACAACTTCCAAGCCCTGTATGAAATATATTATCAATGCTTTGATGGCCCCTGGTTTGTAAAATTTATTTATCAAAATTGCATTTTACTTTTCGTCAGTATGTTATTTTTCTTGGTGGAGGGAGCATCAGGTTCCTTAGACCACCAAGCGCATCTAAAAGCCAGACAAGTGGAGGAATTTAAATATATCTTTTGTGCAATGTTGACGTACTATTCTAAACAATCAAAAATGGGTTCAGCGGTCAATATTTGTATTGTTGTTTCTTTGCCTTTTATTTTGATATTTGCATATTCATTTCATTCCCAAACCAGAATGCCAATAAATGCTTTCAATCTTTTTGAGAACCAATAAGCAGAAACATAAGAGCTATATTTGTGAATTGGTTTATGATTCCGTAATGAGGCGTGACCATACAAAACGTATATTCTGTTAGCTTTTGTTTCTAGTTGTCTACACACCCTTGAAATTCAGTATTTTGCTTTTGGGAAATAGTTAATAGTCTTCAAGCTTCATTTAAAACTTGTGATTTGAGGTTCTTCAAAATTTATCACTTAATGTGCCGAATAAAATTTGGTGGTTATAATGTGTATATTAATCGATAAAAAAACTATTTGGTGTGTCTGAGGAACTTTATAACCAACTGGCTATGACATTTCATTACTGTAGTTTTTTTTTTTGAAACAAACAAGCTTAATGGAATTCATTTATCGATTTAAATTCAAAACAAGGAATAACATTAAAAGTGTTATGCCTAGACCAAGAAACATTCATTACTGAGGTTATCGCCTGTCTTCCCCATGTAACAAATTGTAAACCTCTTCTCTCTGAAATATGCTGTGTCTCTAATTATAGAGGCATGCTTTGCACAAGTTGTCCATCCAAGAAGATGGGCATGCTGCAAAACCTCTTTCTAAATTGGATATAAGGAGTGATTTGTAGTAGCAGTTTTATTATGAAGGATGTTCTTAATGACAGTTTAGAGAGTCAATTTCGAAAATCACTAGTGAAATTCGACTGAGTAGCCAGTTTGGCTCTAACAATAATAATCCTTTTCAATCTGGGTTCCAAATCCGTCTTTAAAGAAAAACTAGATCATTTCGATCCTTCCAAATGTGAAGGTTCTCACCATAACATGAAATTTGGATAAGAAAATATATAACCAAATCAACTTGCTTTAAAATGCAACAGACAATACCAAATTAATTCAAGTGATATGTACATCGTAGAAGCCAAATAAAAGGCAACATTCAACAAGTCAAATTTGGGTACTCTTATCTTGATACAAGCCATGACATAAAATAATTAAGCTGAGCATAACGTGAGAGTAAGTATGTACAAGAGAAGAGTGTGTCACTCAAATGCAAAAATAAAGGAAGTTAGTGTCAAATGTCAATCTAAAACTTGGGAGGTAAGTGTAATTTTCTCCTGTGAAATAGTTTCTCACAACAAGTTCATTTATCAGCCTCACATCGTGATGGAAACCACAGACTCTTTGAATAAAAAAAATGAGGCCATTTTGAAGAATTTTTGCAGATGTTTCATGTTTACCGCCGAAGATTTGAACTTCATATGAGTGCCAGCCAAGTCACAAGCAGACCGAGTTAAGAGTTCTATTCACGCGAACTAGCGTCTCACATCATCTCCTCTTCTTTGATTGCTTGCATTCTAGCATTTTCGCGGTCCTTTTTAAATATAAAATACAATGGTGTGTAGCACAAGCAACACAATCCAAAAGGAACTGCCATCATTGAAAGAAGTCCCTTTGACAAGGCAAGAGCCTCAGGTGAAGATCCTTTGATTGGATCAACCGATTTTGAATCATAGCCAAACATTTTTTCTGCAAGAATGCCAACCAAAGGAGCTGCAACAGAAGAGAACGAGCCTTCAAAAGCTCTATCAAATGCATAAATCATGGTCCTATGTTTGACCGGAACTACCTCGGCGAACATAGGTCCGTTTGCAGCCGTAGCATTCCAGCTTATAGTTAGTCCCATAAAGAAAAGCGTGACCGAAAATGTAAGAAAACTAGTTACTGATTGAGGTACCATCCTTAAAAGAAACCATGAGAATGGAATGCCCATAAAGGCACTGAATTGCGCGCACATGATTCGACCTGAATGTGGATAGGTTTGCGACAATCGATCAGCTATTGATCCTCCTATGAACGATCCTAGTGCACATCCAACAGCAAAAAGACTGAGGAGAGTTGCTGAAGTGTTATTATCAAAACCTGCATAGTGAGAGCCAATTCATTGCGTTAAACAAGTATATATAAAAGGATTCATATTACAAACACATTTTAGAATCCTTTCCAAAATTTAAGTTCTTGCATAAAAGATGCTGCTAGTGATCGATCTCAGAATACAATCTTGCAAAGTTGAATTAGCATGTAAATGTAGAGAAAAAGGCTTCATGCTCACCGATTAGTTCGAACCACATTGTGAAGAACACCATGGCAGTCCATGGTAGTGACCCAATAATGCCTTGTAAGACAATTATTTGAAATGTTTGAACTCTGATCACAGATTTAGTGGCCGCCCAAGAGTGCCTCCAAACTGAAGTCACACTAGCATTGCCACTATAGATAGAATCACCCCTGCTGACACACAAAGTTGATTTGCCAACAATTACAAATCAAAGAGATATAAACATTCAGTTATTTGTTCATAATAATAAGCAATATCCTATATTCACTTAGTCACCAGCTCAACACCGTAAAATCTTGCACAAAATATGAACCCTTACCAGATAGATGGTACGGTGTTGAGCTACTGACTACGTGAACATAGGAGACACCCTATTTATCAGTTTTCCTGAATTCTACAACGTTGTGACGTATATTGTAGAATGTTCTTCCTTACCTTTCTGAACTATCACTAGCATCTTGAGTTGGGGAAAATCTTTTTTTCGGATCATCCACGTATAGCAAAACAAGGATTCCAATCAACGCGCTCAAACTCGCCATCAAAACAAAGGCACATCTCCATCCTTGTATTCCCCAAAACGTCTGACCAGCCATGACAGTAGCCATAACACCACCTCCAATCCCCCCTACATTACCAATAAGGCTTAGCAATCCAAATCCAGCACCTCTCACTCCTTCCCTATAGCTATCCGCAATGAAAGACTGCAACGCAGGAATCACAATTGCCAAACCAAATCCGTTTATCGCTCTCCAAAACGCAACCTGCATAAAATCGTGACAAGCACTCACAGCAGCAGTAGATAAAGCCCAACAGAAAGTTCCCATAGCAAGAATTGTTGGTCTATCATAGTTAATAACAAGTATACCAGCTAGAGGCGACGAAAGTCCTTGAACAAAGTTCCGTATGAACGTGAGGTAACCTAAATCAGACGGTCCCGCATTGAATGCTTCGCTAACTTCTTTGTAGACCGACGGAAGAAGATTCTCGTCTGCGCGCTCCATAATAGCAGCTAGGTTGATGAGAATGAGCGAAAGAGATACACCATAAATCTTAATTGTTGTTCTGTTAAATTAGGAAAATAAAACATCATGGTAAGACTATAGCTGCAATTCATTGTATATGATCAAAAGGAATGTAAAAAAGCTATGAAGTACATATGCCAGAAACACGACACAGTCACCAACACTGACACACCTGCACTGAAAAATAAATAAACTAAACCTAATCACTAATATCTTTGTGAGTTTCACACGTAGACACATTTTTCAGAGGTGTTGGTATACCGAGTAAAAAAAAGTAACTAAAAATAGAAAAAACTACTATTAGACATAGGATATATACATTAAAGATAATCAATGAAGAATTCTTCTAACTATATAACAGAATAGAATCAGTTTGAGTTAGGAATCAATAGTTATTGTTCTAACAATACAACTATACAAGGTTTACAAAGGAGGTGATGTAGTTAAGCAAAAATTCAACTAAACATGTTTCTAATAAAATTAAAATTGAAAAGCAAAAATTGTAGATCAATAAACACAAAGAAAGAAAGAAAGAAACACAAGTTGAACTCACTTCATGGTTTGAGAAGAAGAATGAGTGGGAGTTGAAAATGATGATTTGGATTTGGATGAAAGAAGAGAGGATTTGGTGCTATGTTTTGAGGTTCGAATGAGTCTCATCACGTACGACAATCCAAAGAAAGAGGAAGGAACTCTCTCACAAAGCAGCGTTCTTGGTGGATCTGACGCAAACAATATAACTTATCATATAGTATTAAATGAAAATTATGACGTTTTGTTATTATTCCTAGAATTTAACTTACAATACAAATATAACATTAAAATTTGGTATGTCCGAAATAAACAAAAGAAAGAAATGTCAACACAAAAATCAAACCGTCTAAGAGATCATATATAATGAAACCACGAAGTCATCTATCATCTCAAGGGAGTATAAGATATTATTTTTTCTTTCATAATTTTTTTCTTTCTGAATTATATATATATATATATATATATATATATATATATATATATATATATATATATATATATATATATATATATATATATATATATATATATATATATATATATATATATATATATATAAAATTAAAATTATACAGAAACAATAGTAGAATAATAAATGAATACTTTGAATATCAAATTAATAGAAGTTGTCTCAAAAGTGTTAAAGTACATAAATTGTGATCTTTATCATGTGGTTCTAATTGGATCTCTAGACATGCTTGTGGGTGCCTATAGGGCATGTCCATAACATGGTATATGGTAGGATGATATTCCTCTGGGGTGCTATCATTTTTATGATGGGTTGGGCTTGATCTTGTTCAGAACACTTGTCGCCCAAGCTTTTTGTTGAGGGAGTCATGTGAGCTACGCCAATCTTCTTGAATTAAAAATATTATTTGTTTTAATTATAATTATAATAAAATGTAAGAGAATAATTTTGTCATTAAACTTTTGTTACAAATGTAGAATACTCGTGATAATCTATTTTTTGGAAAGAGTAGAGGAAAGTCCACACATAATTCTTTGGTGTAATAGATGAATATGAAATATTTTATGTAACACATTGATCATAGAAGAATCTTGCTATTGCACTCGTGAAGTATCCTCTATGTGCATCACTGTGACATGTTCTAGTACCTGATAGTACAATCTTTCAATGATATCCTCTAGTCACATGTAATTAAACACTATCAAGTTCTTATAGTCAACTTCAATCTCTGTTTTAATTTTGATTAAAATTTTATATTATCAATATATCACAACTATCTGTATTATTTTTTAAATGATTAAAATTTTTAAATAAATTATCAATTATAATTAATTCACGGTAAAAAAATGTTTTTAATATAATATTCAAATAAAAACGGTTGAAATTAGTGAAATTTATGTTAAAAAAGTTACAAATGCGACCCAAGTTTTCATGTCTAGAAAAACATAATCGTCTGATTTTTTTTACTGTTCTATCCCCTTCTTAAAATTTATATACCAAAATATTTCATTTTAAAAAGAATTATCCAAATATTCTAATGTTAGTATGTGCTCGGTCATTGAGTTGGCGTGTTCTGATGAAGAAAATTTGTGCATGAAAGTGTTTGTTTACTAAGTTGGCGAACATCTTAAAAGATTTATATAATAAAATAATTTAAAAAATGAAAAAATATTAAAATACTCAGGTATTTGCTATTTCAATGGACGAGCACCTTCACTTACAAGTTTTCTTTCATCTGTTCGCCAATTCAGTAGACGAACACGTATTCACATTAAGACACTTGGATAATTCTTTTTAAAATGAAAACCATAAAAGCATCTCATCTCACGTGTAATCGTAGCATTAAAAGAATTAATTTTCTCACCGAGCCGTGTGATTCCTCTATTTTCCCATAAGGGGGACCGCATTCTCGTGTAACATTTTCACACTACGCACCCGACACGTCAAAAGTGGTCCCCCATGCAAACACTGTTCCACCCACGCTGTTCCTTTCAATTTTCATATTGATTTCTGTGTCGCACGTGTGAGTTCATGCTGTATGGGCTCCACTTAGTTACATCTCCTTCTTTAGCCGTATCTTCACTCCAACTAACCATCACGTCACGTCAGACTACTCAACCTCAATTACCAAACGAACCGGAGTTTCTTCTAATTATCCTCTCTAATTACTAACACTTTAAATTTGCATATTCCAATATCCCATACTTCATATAGTACTAGTGGGGTATTAATACTAGTATTACGTCTCGTTTTACATGTGCATGACTGTGAGTTCAAATTTGTAATATTCACTTACTTATTTTTAAGAGGTGTAATTTCGATTTTTTGACTGATGGACAAAATATTTTAAAGTATATAAATATAAAGTTTAGGAAAAGAATAAAAAATGTTTTGCAATCGTGCACTTGTGTTTTAATATTTTGTTGAAGCTTAGCCAATTGGCAATACTAGTAGATAATAATATAAATATGAATGGGTCCTGTTTTGAGATGTGCATTTCTATCTTTATTTCGTCACAAAATGAATTGGCATGTGGGCTGCAACTTTACTTTGACCAGTGACTGGTCTGGCTGATTGATTTGTGTGTATTATTTTGCCTTTAAAAAAAATAAAATATTTATGCTTTTAGTTTACTAATACTACCAAGTTCTTGCTTGGATTTCTTACCAAAAGAGTGACAAGAGCCAGACAAAAATCAATACTACTAGTACAAGATACCCAGACTTGCAAGTCATAAGAATTTCCTGTCAGTATTACTACCATGTAAATTTCTATTCCTTCCGGTAGTATACTCACTCCATTTTATAATGAATGATTCACTTAATTTTGCAATAAATAATTCCGTTGATTATTTCATATAAATTAAGGAAAATAAATAATTAAAAAAAAATAAATAATATTTTTACTAAATACTAATATTATATATTAAAAATGATGAAAATAATATTAATTAGAGTATAAAATTAAAATAGATGTATTAAAAATTAAAATGAATCACTTATTTTAAAACAGTCTTTCATTTTAAATGGACCACTCATAATAGAATAAAAAGAATAGTTTTTACCCGATACTTTTGTCAGCAACAGTGGTAATTGAGGTCACAGATTCACCTATGTGTTGCTCGCAAAATATTTTGTGGATATTGATATACCCATTGAACACCTTTAAAGGAAGAAAAGAGATAGTAGAAAATGCAATGTGATTATAAAATATGATTGGTTTTAATTTTGGAAGAGAAAAAAACCAATTTTAAAGATGTATCAGTATTTTTGAATTGATGTTGACGTTTTTGGTAATTCTAAAATAAATATGATTACACTTTTAAAATTTATTTCAATTGAAGTGAAGTTAAATGTGTGTTTCATTCTAGAAAATGTTATCATGCTTCAAAGAATTTTTTTTGGAATGGAGATGAAAAAAAAAAGATTAGTTAGATTTGTTGAGATAAGGTTTATGGGGGAGTTTGGTGTGAAACATTATGGAAAATTTAACATCGCTCTTTTTAGTAAATGGAAGTGGCGAATTTTGAATGAGGAGAATTTTTTATGGACTAATTTTCTTTCTTGCAGGTATGGTGCCGTTGAAAGAGCAATGCTTGGTGTTTTATCTTTTAATTCTAATAGTAAAGTTTCTATTTGGTGGAGGGATCTTTGTGCGGCTGGTTGTGCGGATTCGAGTCAACATGGTAGCGGAGATGGAAAGTTGGTGTGGGGAAGTTTGGAGTTGGAATGTGAATATTCGGTCGCGAGAAGAAGATCAGGCAGGAAGCATTCAGCTGCGCAAGTTGCTGTTGTCTCTGCTGGTGGTGCAACCTCGTCGCTTGGTTTTAGACCGGTTCGTGTGGTGGAGAAATCCAAACGATTTTACGGTTAGTAATACTTATGATACAATAGGTTTGGGTGATTCTTGAAGACCGTTGTTGGATGATAACCTTTCTTTAGCTTTATCTCGGTTGTGGAATTCTAAATTGTCTAGTAGAATTCTTATTTTCGGTTGGAGATTGATTTGAAATAGACTTCCCTCGAAGACAAAGTTGGCAAAGCGTGAGATTTTGTTGGGGCCCCACTTTTTGGTTTGTCCTTTGTGTTTTGAGGTTGAAGAGGATTTGAATCACTTATTTTGGGGTTGTCTAATTTCTAAGGCGTGGTTGAGAAATATTTGTCATTTGCTTCGATTGGAAGACTCTTCTTCGGCTTGCTCTATTTTGGAGTGTCTTCTTTTGTTGGATACCTCTTGTAACTCAATTTTTATCTTGGATTTTGGTTGGTTTTTTGGTTTGGCTATTTGTTGGATAATTTGGAAATGTAGGAATGAAATCTTTTTTAAATGTCTTATTTTGTCTAACTTTGATGGTGTAGGATCAATTAATTTTTTATCGTGGGAGTAGTTTGTTGTGTTCTTTAGACTTGGGTCCAATGTGTCTTGGTCAGATTGGAGCCAAGACCCAAAGATTTTTTTTAGGTGAGTCCGGGTTGTGGTGTTGGTTGTTTTAGTGGGGGTTGTCCCACTTTTTTCCTTTGTTGTGTATTTGGGTCAAGGACCTCTAGTGCTTTCTAATTTATTCCCCTTACTTATAGAAAAAAAGGATGGTCTGCTAATCCCACAAGTTGAAGGCACAATTATAAAAATTGAATCATCGTGCGAGTAACAATAGCACCCGCATTTTCCTGCATCATAGAGTGTCTCGTAGAGGAATGTCATATTAATCTCCAAACTCAATCCAATGGCCGAATGCATCTCACGTTGTTTCACACGTGTGCAGTTATCAACTATCTCCTACATTTAAAGAGGAAATCGCGTCACTTCACAAATATTAAAATTCTTGCATATTCAAACTACATTTCTCTCATTCTTACCAACTTGAGCGTTTGAGTGTTAACCTTGCAGGCCAGTCCCTCTCTACCGCATCAAAAGCCTTAAACAACACAAACCGTGAATTCATCATCTCTGATCACCATCTACTTTGAGAGCATAAAATTGGCGTTGTTTATGGAAATTAACTTCTAATTTCTACAATTTTCCACGACCTAACTTCCATCAATTCAACTAAATTTGTTCCGATAACAATCTAGATCTCCTTCGATCAAAGCTGAGTCTTCATTTCTTGATCAAGCCCGTCAGATTCAGACTCAAACTATCATCATTCGTATCCATAAAG